TATGTATGTGTGTATGTGTGTATATGTGTATGTGTGTATATGTGTGTATGTGTGTATATGTGTGTATGTGTGTATACGTGTATATATGTGTGTGTATGTGTGCATGTGTATGTATGTGTGTGTGCATATGTATGTATGTGTGTGTGTGTGTGTGTGTGTGTGCATGTGTGTGCCTGCCTGTGAAGACTTGAAAAGGACTTCAGGTCCCCTAGAATTGAAATCACAGACGACGGAGCCATTTCTCCAGCCTCAAGGTGAACACTTCGAATGAGAAAATGGAGGAGGGTAGAGCTGGCTCTGAGTGTATGCTAAGCATGTAGGGAGTCCTGGAGGAGGTGGGGGGGGGGGAGGAGGAGAGAGAGGAGGAGGCAGGGAGAGGAAGAAGGTAGGGTGGGGGAAGAGAGGGAGACAGAGGAGGACGGGAGGAAAGAAGGGACAGAGGGAGGGAGGGAAGGAGGGAGGGAGGGAGAGATTTCTTAGCACTAACTCATAAATGAGGACAGGCTAAGAATGTTTAAGTCTGGCCAAGTGTGGTGAACCCTGCATTGAATCTCAGCACTCAGGAGTCAGATGCAGGCAGATCTCTGTGAAATTCGAGGTTACCCCGGCAATCCCAGGTGACCTTGTTTCATAAAAATAATGAAAAAAAAAAAAAGAATATTGAAGTCTGATGATGTATATTTTCCCTCTATGTGACAACGGGATGCAATGTCTATGAGGATATGACCAGAAATAATGGTGTAAAGCAGGTACAGGAAGAACAGAAAGGGACCACCGAGTTCAAGTGGTTACCTATAGGAACTGCAGTCTGGCATCTGTCTGTCTGACATCTGTCCACACACCCACCCACCCATCCATCCTCTATCTACCCATCCATCCATTTGCATTCAGTATCCCAGGTGAAGAAAAGATTGCTTGGTTAGCTTGAGTTCCAGTCTATGATGCATGGGAAGTTGGAAACACTGGGAAAGTCTATGGTTCATATTTAATAAGAAGACTTGTCGTGAGAATTTTGGTTCCTTTAAGAAACACAGTAATAGAAGCCGGGCAGTGGTGGCGCACGCCTTTAATCCCAGCACTTGGGAGGCAGAGGCAGGCGGATTTCTGAGTTCGAGGCCAGCCTGGTCTACAGAGTGAGTTCCAGGACAGCCAGGGCTAAACAGAGAAACCCTGTCTTGAAAAACCAAAAAAAAAAAAAAAAAAAGAAACACAGTAATATTATATAAGAATATGTTTTTATTTTAATCCCGGGTGTGAGATATGGGGTTACTTCAGATTGTCCACAGCAGCCAACTAGGACTTGCCCTGTGCTCTAGCAGGGGAATTTTGCCCGATGCTGATAGTTTCTGCCATTGTATGACGTTTGGAATTCTGGGGACTTTACAGAGAGTGTATAAAGGCAAGGGTCCTGAGAGGGGTGTGGGTTGCTGGCTGGTTGCTATTGGTCTCTGTTTGTTAAGCAGTCGTGTGCAAAGAAGAAGAAAGAAGAAATCAGATATTGGGATGACAATGATCAAACTTGCCCCAAGAAACTCAACACCTCTAGTTAGCAGGAAGTAGTCTAATGATAACATCGCCCCCTCTCCCCTCTCCCCATTTTGCTCTCCTATCTAGTGTTACGGGGCTGAAAGGGTAAAAACGGGTGGAGAAGGGTAGAAGAGAGAAGAACCCACAAAGAAGTCAAAGTCAGGCTACAGAGACTTCTCCCTGGGCAAGGCTGGATGCAAAGGTACTCTGAAACACCCCACGTGAGGAGATCCGAGTCCTTGCGTATGGGTCCTTTATAAACTGTGAACTCAATGAGGGAAGTGAGGGAAGGAACATGTTGTAATTATGTCTCCTGTTGCTTGGATAGAGCCGCCAGGGAGCTGCTGTCGAGTGGGTGGGTGTCCCCGTGGCTGCTGACGTGACGTCTCAATGTTCGTGCCTCAGAGCTTTAGGGCTGGGCAGGGAGGGAGGGCTACGACCAGATGCTGCGGATTGGAAGAAGAGTCATCTCGGAAGCCCTCGAGAAAAACAATCTGAAGTCATGAGTGTGGAAAGCGGATGACGACAGCCAGGTTCTCTATTTTAAGACTCTGGTGGGAGTGGGAGGTGGGCGGGGATTAGCACAGGGAGCTGCCTTCGTGAGGGCGGGCTCTACAGAAAGCGCTGTTGTCACGGGGAAAACCGAGGAAGAAAATAGTGGGGAATTAAGTTGCTTGATCTATTTTTCACCGGGGGATGGGACGGGGTGGAGGTGGCAAGATTGGGATAAGAACTCAGGACACCTGAAAGCACCTGAGTCCCTTGGAGCTGTGGAACTTACCAGGCAAGTGTCTGATCGGCCACCGTTTCAATGACAGTGTAGAGGGCAAAGACAATCCAGTACATCATCCAGCGGACCTGGAAGTCATAAAAGCACCCATGAAGGAATTGACTAGGACGACTGCAGGGCCTCCCACCCAAATCCCAGCATCTGGGATGCTCAGGCAGGAGGATTCCCTCCAAGTTTAAGGCTAGCCTGTGCTACCCAGTGAATTGCACTGTAGCCTGGATGAAAGAAGTTATATGCTCTGAATCATTTTATATAAACACACGTCTCTGGATATATAATATATTGGGGTCTAATAGAGAGGGCAGTGGTTCAGTTTTTAACAAGTTTTATGCACGACTATAAGTATCTGGGATATAGAGTCAAGAGGAAAATCTCTGGGGCCTGATACAATGTAACTAAGTCACCAGAATCAAAGAACTATTTAATGCGCACATAAATAAAGTGGCCCAAGACATGATGGCATGTAATGCTCATTGGTCTTTAAATATTTGCGCTTATTTGGGTGTGATGATGCATGTCTTTAATCTTAGTACCTGCGAGGTAGAAGCAGGAGGATCTCTGAGTTCAAGGACAACCTAGTTTACATAGCGAATTCCATGGCAGCTAGAGAAACACAGTGAGTCCTTGCCTCAAACAAATAAATAAATATTATAAATATTTTTATTTTATTTATTTTTTTTTGGTTTTTCAAGACAGGGTTTCTCTGTATAGCCCTGGCTGTCCTGGAACTCACTCTGTAGACCAGGCTGGCCCCGAACTCAGAAATCCGCCTGCCTCTGCCTCCCAAGTGCTGGGATTAAAGGCCTGCGCCACCACGGCCAGGCTAAATATTTGTATTCTTTATTTTTCCACGTACAGAAATTGTTCACAGACCAGGATGGTTATTTCCATTACTGACAAACCCATAAAATCAGTCATGCAGTGTGAGAACCCAAGGCACGGCGGCAGTTTGGGAGATTTTGATTTCCTGCCTGCTGACTGAGAGCCCTCGGCTGTCTCTTGGCTGCCTCTCTGTCATTTTATAGGCAGATGACACATTGGTTATTCTTAAACTCAATCTCTCAGACATATACCTGTTTCTCAGTACCAGCAGATACACTTTCAAGTAGGTTCAGGTTTTTTGTTTGTTTGGTTGGTTGCTTGGTTTCCTGTTCAACAATATAAGCAAACACACAACCCCACAGCAGCCGCTGGACTTGGGACTGCTATATACACAATATAGCAATAATGCCTTTAACCCCTATATTATTATGGAATGCAATTGCTTCTGTCATAGGTAAGTGGCAGAGAGGTAAAAGGGCTTTCTCGGGGTCACTTTGCCAGGGAGTGGGTCCAGGCTGGCTGACTCTGGGATAGAATAGATAGCTATACCATACACAGATCGAAAACAGCAGAAGCCCGAGCAAACCTATTGCTTCCTTCAGTCTGGTCCATGCCAGTGTCCTGATAAGCAGCCATGTAAAGATAGTCTTACTTAAAGTCAGCACATGTCTAACCTGTGTGGTCTTGTGGCATTTTCATATGTGTCATGGGGCACGGGGCTGTATTCTAATATATCCTTATAAACTACTGAGTTTTGAGATAGATGTTTGTCTCACTATCTCAGACAACATCAACCTGTATATAATTCAAGGCCGGGGGTGTAGTGAGTGGTGGAGGTTTTGCCCAGGATATCTAAGCCCTGATACTCCTAAGCTCTGCAGACATCATGATGGTACCCCTGGTACATACGGGTGTTTGGAACTCAGTGCTATCCAGTAGATAACTGGATAAGCTCTCATCCACTGGGTCAGTTCTCCAGCTCTATTGTCTATTTTCTTTTTAAAGAGGAAGAAAAGAAGGTATTCTTTTGTAGGCAAACTAAACAATCGCCAAATTCTATCAACAGTTTATTCTACACATTTTCCTTGTGGTACTGACTGTATTTTATTATTATTATCTTAGACAGGTCTTGCTTTGTAGCCATAGTTGGCTTCAAATACATGACAACCCTCCTGCCTCAGCTTTCTGAGATTACAGGCATGTCTGGCACTAGCTATAATTTGACATAAACAAAACCCTACGGCATGAATTTGTCTTTTGTGCATGAATTCCTTGACAATCTGCTCCCTAGAATGTAAGGAGATTTAATTCTTATCAGAAATACGGACCTTCCATGTCATGTCACCGAGCTTAGGCAATGATTAAACGTCACTCCATCACTCCGTGAGCCTGTGGTGTTCAGGGGAGCGACCACAGAGAAAGTCAACCTTGGCAGTGTGGGGCCTGATTTTCACAATAATGGATCTAGTTGGGATTTTACGATTATTCAGCAAGGCCTTATGAAAACTGTGCCTCAAGGCCACCCAGACTCTGTTTAAAGTTTTTCCCAGAGGAAATGCCAAAAGTCAAGGTTAAAAAAACAGGGGGTGGGGGTGGGGTAGGGCAGAGGGCAGCTCATAAAACTGTACCTAAGGACACGTGAAGACAAAGACCTAAGATAGTTTGATAAAAACGTGTGGCATTAGTGTTAATATTACTAATTTCTGTGAAAACCGTCACTTTGACTGTCCTAGGCATGTCTACAGGCCCTTCTGTGTCTGTAGGGAATGTTCCTCCACCCCTGCAGATCCAGAGTCTGCTGTCACTCTCACTGAAGTGTCACCTATAAAGAGGCTTAGTGTTTGCAGATAACCAGGACACAGTATCCTCTAGCTGAGGTCAAGTCATCTCCAGACTACAGTCACCTCCAGATGCAAATCCTTCCCCTTCCTACCTCTTCTCTGCAGCCTGAACTGTTGATTCCTTCTCAAGTGCTGGCATTATGGCTGTGTGTTACCGCACCCAGATCCACAATCATTACACGGTAGCCCACTTAGCGGCCACAAAACACTTTAAGCCTGGTGGCACGCATGCCTTTAATCCCAGCACTTGGGAGGCAGAGGCAGGCGGATTTCTGAGTTCGAGGCCAGCCTGGTCTACAGAGTGAGTTCCAGGACAGCCAGGGCTACACAGAGAAACCCTGTCTCGAAAAAACAAAAGAAAAAAGAAAAAAAAAAAAAAAGAAATACATCTCCGACAAGGCAATATGCACACTACGTTGAACACAGACACACATGCATGCATGCACCTTTGACTCATCTTTCATATAAAACATGATACAGTTAATTCTTTTTTTTCTGGTTTGTTTTTCTTGAGACAGGGTTTCTCTGTGTAGCCCTGGCTGTCCTGGAACTCACTCTGTAGACCAGGCTAGCCTCGAACTCTCGAACTTAGAAATCCGCCTGCCTCTGCCTTCCAAGTGCTGGGATTAAAGGTGTGAGCCACCACTGCCCGGCTGATACAGTTAATTCTTAAGGACAGAGGGCCATCCTTAGCAAGGACATGAAATGATACAGCTGTATCCAATCTTAAACTGCCCACTTGCCCTGCATGGGAAAAGACACAAGGATGGGCTGGCCAAATAAGATCTGGCTCAGGTGACAAAGGAGCTTGTCATCAAGCCTGCTGACCTCATGACTTCTAGCTCCAGTACCCACAGGGGTAGAAGCAGAGGTACTCCTTCCTGCGAGCGTCCTCTGACCTCCATGTGTACTCTATGGCACACACAGGAGCACGCAGAGGCGTATCCACATAAACAAAATAAATACATTTTCAGTAAAGGCGAGAGGCACGGAGGTTTTTAATATTCTCATGAGATGACATTGCTACTGAAATTATGAGAGTATCAGTAGCAGATGAGATGGATAAAGATAATCTAAGGAATCCAGGTTAGAAGAAGAAAGCCTCCAAGGAAGAAGCGAGCACGTATCCCCTGCTAGGGCAAAGGGAAGAGGAAGGAAAAAACTTGCTGTGTGAGGAAGAGGTTTTGATATAGGGAGACAGGATAGAGGGCTGAAGAGGTGGACACTTCTGTCTCTGTTCTGCAGCAGGAGGGCAGTCATATGTTAAGAGTGGCCATGCAGAACTTTGGGAAGAACAAGAAAGATCTAGAAAAGGTTTTCTTCTGGTTTTTGTTGTGTGTGTGTGTGTGTGTGTGTGAGACAGGGTTTCTCTGTGTAGCCCTGGCTGTCCTGGAAATCACTCTGTAGACCAGGCTGTCCTTGAACTCACAGAGATCTGCCTGCCTCTGCCTCTTGAGTGCTGGGATCAAAGGTGTGCGCCACCAGCTGCCCTCAAAAAGTTGCTTTTATGGGTAGGAAAAGATGCTGATTAGGGAAAGCCAGATCTGACTCTGACCAATGACGTTAGAACACGGGTGGGGCAGGGAGTCTAGGCCAATGGAGGAGAGGCACCGGAAGGCAGCACCTGAGTGTCCCGCTCTGACGCACACAGTGTGACCTGGAGCTGTCGGTGTGTACCTCCAGGCTTTCTCCTCTTCCTGCTGTCTAACAAGGAGCACAGCAGTCTCAGAAGCTGTGTGTTGAAGGTGAGCACAGCTCAAGAGCTGTGAGGAGGAAGATTCCTCTCTGACATGGAAGACCTTGCTTCCTAAATGGGCAGCACAGGACAGAATAAATCCCCATATTCCTCTGTCACCATATTCTTTAGCATCTTAGCCCATAGGAGGCCCCACTCCAATCTCTGGAAACTGAGGCTGGGGCCATCATAGCCATGGTTCCAGGATTAGCTATGTACCCACCAGGGCCTATTATGGCACAGCTAATCACTGGCGGTGATGGAGACACGGAGAACTGTCTTCAGGGGCTCTGGTTGAGATCACCTCAGGGACTCTAAGGTGTAGCTGGGAAGTGACTGGAGAGTGGGAAATACGACATTTTCACACAACCGACTGAGAAGGAGCAAGAGGAAACCGACCTTACATTAAGATTGTGATCCCCCAGGAGGAGTGGCTTCTGACTGAGCGTGTTAACTCTCCTCTCGTGGGCTGCCAGTGTATGTGAGTTTAATCAGCACCTCTCTCCTCCCTCATCAACTTCACTAGGGGCGAAAACAATCAGATCAATCACTGAGCCTTGCAAAAAGCTGCAAGTCAATCTATTCTGAAAGACTGGTGGGCACCCTAAGGTTAAAGGTCAAGTTAACACAGCTCCACTCTGCTTTCCTCAGGAGGGCACCAGCACACCTG